CCGTCGCCGGCCGCAGACTCGATCCCGGCTCCATCTGAGAAATGAGACAATAGGGTTGAAGTGGTGCAGCCAAGGCCAAACCGCAGTTCACCAGAATAATAATAATTAACGCGTGTGGAACGGAAGGGAACATGACGATCTTGCGGCGTCCACTTATTCCTGCCATCTTCCGATAAAGGGGCTCGTTGGCAGGGTCGGGCAGGCTCATGAACTGTTGATGTACAGTACAGACGCTGATGTGATTTATCTAATTATGGATGACAGACGGACGACACGCAGGGGAATACCTGGAGTGGTGGAAGCGCTCATGAAGTTGGCAGTTTACTTTGTTATATACCACTGGCGTCAAATTCGCGCGCAAAACACTTCTTTTTGTCAAACCAAACATCCCGCCTGCATGTCACACCAACACCATGTACACGCATAACGCTGGCAATTGTAGGGCCACTCCCCTAGTTCGAGCTAATTACATGCCACCACCTAGCCGCGCTTTACAACAATCTTGCCCCCGGCCTTGCCGCTATCCAGCAGCTTATGGGCCTCGCGAATCTCGGAATAGTCAAAGACGTGGGCGGGCCGCGCATCCCACTCCCCCCGCGCCAGCTTGTCGACGATCTCCTGCAGCGGGATTCCCGAGAGGGGGAAGTCGCGCGAGCCCAGCACCTTGCTGTGGAACAGGCTGAAGTGCACGCCGCTCTCCATCTGCAGCATGGGGTTGAAGTCGGGCACGGGGTCGAGCCCGCCCAGCCAGCCGGCCTGCAGCATGCGCCCGCCCGGCCGCGTCAGCCGGATGCTCTCCAGCAGCGCGCGGTTGCCGATCAGATTCAGCGTCTTATCGAACCGAGGCGGCTCCCCGAACTGCGCGCCCAGATCGTCCTGCTCGCGCTTGACGTCTGCCGCGCCCATCTGCCTGAGCACGGCGAAGCGCGCCTCCTGTCGCGTCGTGGCCGTGACGGTGGCCCCCGCGTTGACGGCCAGGTCGAGCGCGGCCTGGCCAAGCGTCGACGTGGCGCCGCGGATCAGCACGCGCTCGCCAGCCCGCACGTCGAGCACGGTGAACAGGCACGAGTACGCGGTGCTGTACGTCTCGGGCAGCGCCGCCAGCTGCTCCCACGGCAGCGCGCCCGCGGTGATGGCGACAACGTTGGACGCCGGCACGCTGGCGTACTCGCCGTATCCGCCCGGCCGGCTGCGGCCCATGCGGCCCATGACGCCGACGACCGTGCCGCCCACGGCCACCTCGCCGCCCGGACATGCCGCCACCGTGCCCGCGCACTCGAGCCCGCTGATGGCGTTCCACTCGTCCCACTCGCCCCGCCGCATGTGCATCTCGGCGTGGTTCACCCCGAACGCCTTGACGTGGATCAACACCTCGCCGGGGACGGGCGTGGGTTTGGGTACCCGTCGATGCTCGAGCACTTCGGGCCCGCCGAACCGCGATATGACAATGGCATCCATGGTGTCTGACATGCTGTCTTTTAACGTGACAGTGATTTGATGTGATAGTGTTTTGGGTAGTGAGTAATACCGGGAGGGGATGGAATCGATATGGCCCGTCGTAGGTACCTGGATGGTTGTTGATTTCAGGATATGTTTGGCTTGTGTTGTTTTCTGGTCTCTGTTGAGTGTGTCTCCATTTTCTGCCATGGCTCGTTGGCCTTCTTTATGGATATTCTGCTCCCACGCCAAGCCGCCGATCTCGAGTCCCGGATTAAAAGATGCGATGACTAAAGTGTGAATCTCGCCATGAGGAGTTGCCGCTATGAGGAATTATGGATGCCATTTTGGGAAAATAACATCTGCTCTACAACGTGGCGGCCGGTCGCACGCATGATATCAAAATTAGGGCGCGGTGACAACAGACTTACATGATGCACCTGCATTTGTCATCCCTCCCACACGAGCCTATTAGCGAAGTAGATGCTTCGAGTTTCACTGCTACAACAAGAAATTGCCGCATGCCACTCGGTAAATATCCCCCTTTTGACTTCGTGCCACGCCCATCTTGTATGTATTCAAGGATCTAAACTCTGGCTTGGTAACTATGTTAAACAATACCGAAGGGGTATATGAAAGATCAGAATGCATGGTGCTGACTCACTGGACTAGATAGAGCACGACATGAGGCGAGCTACAGTGGGGGTTTGGTGACATGATTTGTCAGAGCGTATAAGTTTTTACGAATGTTTGAATGAGTAGGTAAGAGTTGAGCTGGTGAAAGCAAGAGGCTCAAGAGCCAAAAATGATAGCAAGATAATGTGCCCACTCTAAGGCAACCGCATTCGTGTCTGGACCTCCGCAAACCTCTGCTCAATGGCCATTTTGAACCAACCTCTAGTTGCATTTAATTAATCATCACTAGACCTATAAAGAAGGCAGTTTGAAGATGAGAAAAGTTCCCCATCAAACCAAAAGGAACGTAAGAAGGAAAGCTCTAGCTGTGACAATGTACCGCACGTCTTTATAAACGCAAAAGGCAAACACTGGCAAGTTCCTTAAAAGGCAGCGCATCTCATGACACCAGCTCGCACTCGATGAGGCTCTCGAGGCTGTTGGTACCCGTCCAGATGCCCGTAACGCGTAGGCCGGCGCTCTTCTCGAGCAACGCACGCCAGTCGGTCTCGGTGCGCTCCTTTGCGCCGGTAAACATTAGCATGCTTAGGTCGATGGCCGTCATCTCCCACCGCGCGCTCTTCGCTGGGATCACGTTCTCGTTGATCAGCAGTCGGCTGTAGCCAGGCCGCATGGCGTCCTTAATGTGCTTCAGGATCCGCAGCGCCTCCTCGTCGCTCCAGTCGTGCAGCACTCTGTGCATGTAATACGTCCTTGCGCCTGGATAGAGAATGCTATTCAATAGTTGTCTCTTACCAGAGGACGCGATATGGCTGGGGCAAACGCACCTTTGAGGGGCTGCTCAGTGAAGAAGTCATGCTCCATGAGTTCAATCTTGGGATCCAGTCCCAGGTTGGCAGCAGTGGCGATCACTTTGGGCAGGTCCTGCAGCACCAGCCTACCTGGAGCATCTGGATACTCTTGGCGAAAAGCGTTAATGTCGTGCCCCGTACTGCCGGCGACGTCGACGAGAAACGCGGCACCAGAGTCCTTGTTGTCATCGGCGCCGTGGATGAGGCGGTCTGCCACCGGGTAGAAGCCGGCGTCCATCCACCGCGGCGTGCCCAGCCGCGAGGCAGCCATGTGCTGGCTAAAGTACTCGGCCTCGCCCGGGAGCGAGTAGATGTACGAGAAGCAGTCGAGCGTGGTGCCGTGCGCGAGCTGGAAGGCGGACAGCCCCGACGTGTCGGTCGACGGGCGGTAGCCGCATTCCCGCATGTGTTCTGGCAGCTTCAAGGTGCCCGGGATCACCACGCGACACCTGCACGTACCGACATGACGCAGTTAGATAACCAAGTCAGCCAAGACTCGCTTATCTGATCAATTCTCACGAGTTGTTTGCTGTAGGGGTAGACGCTCCTATCCGTGCGGAACCACCAAAACAAGCAGAAAAGGGGTAAAGCATACCCGCTCGGATAGCCGTTCCCGATAATGGGAATAGCCATGGCCTTGGAGAAACTGGTCGGGGCAAACTCGTTTATTCCAGTTTCGGCAATGTAACCCATGCTAGCAAGATAGCGCATGATGCGGGCTGGGCGTGATGTTACGTTTTGTCAGCAAGTTTGTCCTCTCGTGGTACAACATATCGCTCGGCGTCGGCAACTCGGCACCGACGGTCCCCAGACGGACCCGAGCCGCACTGCGCCTACATGACCAAGACGTACCGAGGAGGTCGGACTCCGCTCCAAGGGCCTCTGCGATTTCGGGGACCTTTTTCGGGGCCCCGTTGTTCTGGAGCATGTGGACGAACAGTCCAGTTTCCACCCCGATGGCCAGAGCGGCCGTGCTGGTGCCCTGTTGATGCGTGTCAGAGCTGGCTTTCTTCACAAGGAATGGTGGGGGAATCGGCTGGCCAGTGGACCACTCACATTAGTCCAAAGGTGTCGAAGCATCGTCTCTCGGGGCGTCTCGAGGGCCTGGACGAGGGCGCGCGCGTCGGCGAGAACCTTGAGGCGCGTCTCATGCTCTGTAGCGGTCAGGTCCTTTGAGAGGGACGCAATGTTGCCCACCAGACCTGGGACAGCCTCAAGATCACACGGTGCCAGGGCTACCGAGACGTCGATGCTGGCAGAGTCATGTTGGCTGCCCATGATGAAAAGTAAATAGAACTGAGAGTTTAAGGTTGAGGGCCTGTCACTGGCAAGTATGGGAACGACGGGGGTAGAACGGGCGGCAGGGGTAAGAATGCCAAAGCACCAATCAAAGCGACGGAGATATATTAAAAAGATGTTATGCTAGTAGTAATGAGAAGAAGAACAAAGGAAGGGGTAGAAGGTGGCCCTACTTAAAGTACTGAGATAGCTGGCCCGTGCGCGGTCTGCAGTCTGGCTGGGCGCCGGGGCGGCCTGGAAAGAGGCCGCAAAGGGGACAACACACGGGAGTAGTTGGGGATTGAAATCATCAGGCCACAATGATATTATCAGCTGCTTGTTAACTCATTATCCATTCTCAACTGAAGTCGTAGATAGTAATGGTAGGGTGTAGGAGGATGAAAAAAGGAGCAGAGGAAGAGAACATGAACGTGGTCATGGCGAGGGGAGAAGGCAGCTCCGCCGGACTTAGCGGCCAAGAGTCTGAGCCTGCAGAATGTCCAGAGACGAGTGTCCCAAAGAGACATGCTTATAGCAATTGGGCTCTGTATCTATTGTATTATTTGCAATACATACAAGACATGGCTCTCTTGACACACTGCTAATTAGGTGTGAGCCTCAAGGCTCAATCTGCAGGTTACCAAGGCGGTCAAGGTCGTATTATTGATTTAAGAAGCAGACACGTGTTGAGCCAACATTAGAACTAATGAGATCTAATTAGAGGAGAAAACGGCGAAAAAGGAGCGTGGAATCACGACCTAAGAGTCAAGACAAGAGCCGCATGGCAATGGCAAAAAGCGATCCGCCCAGGTCTCGAACCTGGAGCCTCCTGATTACCGAATATCGTAGTCAGACGCGCTACCATTACGCCAGCGGACCTCGTATGGATATTGTTGCTTGTATATCAACCAGAATAACTATAAAAAAGTGATTTGGTGGAAAGTTGCTTTTTTCGAGATGCATTTTTCTCAAGTGTGGGAAGACAAAAGTTTGACTTTGAACGCTTGCAGGGATTGGGACGAGAATTGATTCGCGCGCTACTTACGTAAGCGTGCGGGCTCTGGAAACCCTATCCCTGCATGCGACTTCAATTTTTACAAGCCGCCCAAGTCTTCAGCTTACTTTCCACCTCGGGTCTGTTTTGCCGTTTCGGGGTGCACGGGATATTATCACAGCCTGTGGATATAAATCGGACGACAACAAGGGGCTGGTGACGGAGTTGACTCAGCGCTATGCCGAGAGGTGCTGCTTACCTTTTTCTCTCAACAGGGCCTTCCCGACTGTGATTTTGTCAATTAACAGTACGGAGTAGCGACAATACAATTCGACAATGTGGCCCTTTTCGTCATCGTATCCAGAGGTGCGCGCCGCCGAAGTCGATGGCCAGACGTTTGACTACATCATCGTTGGAGGTGACGAATGCCATTCCTTTTCTTTATATTGGAATCCATCATGGGTCATCCTTCTAACCCGATTGGCAATCAGGCGGCACCGCTGGATGTGTTGTCGCGTCGCGTCTGTCCGAAGACGCGTCCGTGTCTGTGCTGGTGCTCGAGAAGGGCCACGTCAAGGACAACTTCCTCAGCCGCATGCCGCTGCTGTCTCAAAACTTTGAGTTTCCCCTGCTGCAGGTCGTCGCGCGCCTCTCGGAGCCCATCAGTGAGGTTGGCGGCCGGAGAGCCCGCATGTGGACCGCCGAAGCCGTCGGCGGCGCCTCGCGCATCAACGCCATGCTCCTGACCCGCGGCCTCCCCGGCGGATACAACCGCTGGGCCCACGACTTTGGCCTGGCCGACTGGAGCTGGGACAAGGTGGAGCCTTATTTCCGCAAAAGCGAGCGCGCCGTTGCCCACCCGCACGCGGCCCACCGCGGCCATGACGGGCCCATCGAGAACAAGCAAGCCGACACCCTGCTCGGCTGCATCCCATACGTCGAGCGAGCTGCCCGCGTTATGGGCCTGCCCGTCCACCAAGACATGAACGACCCCAGCGCCAGCGCCCAGGGCTACTTCCATTTGGACCAGACGGTCAATGCAAAGGGCGTCCGCGTCTCTGCCTACGAAGCCTGGCTCAACCGCCGCGTCGCTACCGAGAGGAAGTCTCACCTGACAGTTTGCACGGGCGTCGTCGCCTCAAAACTAGTGGCTAACCAAGACGGCACCCGGGTTGAGGCTGTCAAGATCAGAAATGTAAGGCCAGGAAATGGGTCTCGCGATTTTGTGGTCAACGCTCGGCGGGAGGTCATTGTTTGCAGCGGTTCTGTCTGCACCCCGCAGCTGCTCATGCTGAGGTGAGAAAGTCTCGGCTTTTTTTTTTTCTTTCTCCCTTTCTTTTCTTTTCTTTTCATATTAGACCTGTTGGATATTTTGTTGCTGAAATATTAAACCAGCGGCATTGGACCAAGGGATCAACTCGAACAGTTTAATATCCCCGTCGTGCGCGAACTCGATGCGGTGGGGAGAAATCTGTCCGACCACACGTCCTTTCCAGTCTTGATGCAGCTTCCACGGAAGCACACGCTACACACACTGGAAAATGGACTGGTCTTCTTCTGGAACTTGATCCTCTACATTCTTTTTGGAACCGGCCTGCTCGCAATCGGCACAACTGCACGGAGCATCTTCGTTCGCACCACGGCATTGGACGAACAGACGATGACTGTGCGGAGCGAGGACGACGAAGGGAATAGCACATTAGATCCTTCCATGCCCCGCAACGTACCGGACGTGGAGGTCATGGTCATCCCCGTTAACTGTCTCGCCGAGTCTGTTCCTGGAAGGGTCCTCTTTGGATGGTACTCGACCCTTGTTCAGCCCTTCTCCCAGGGCCGCGTCGAGCTAGCATCAACCGACCCGCAGGATCACCCAAAGACGAACTACCCCATGTTGACTGACCAGCGCGACCTCGTGCCCATGCGCAAAGCGACACGCTTCTCTATGCGTCTCGCCGACGAGTTCGCCAACAATTGTGATTATCCACACCCAGCACCACTGATCTTTGCCCCTGGTATGGACTTGGACTGGTTCGACTCCATCTGTCAGCCAAACAAGGGTAAAAGTTGGTGGTCGGCTGGGGGTCAGGCCAAGCCCGACATATCGCCCGCCCCGGGTGTCCCAGTGCCGCCTCTGGCTGTCGGGCAGGCACCGCTGCAGAAGGCTGCCGTTAGACGCGAGAAGTCTCGAGAACACGAGCAGCAGCAAAGGCGGAGCTGGCAGACAGTGTCTGACGCAGAGATAGACGAATATGCGAAGCGCGTGTGCGTGTCGAGCTTGCACTTCAGCTGCACGTGCCGCATGTCGCTCGATGCCACAGATGGCGTTGTCGACCAGCGGCTGATGGTCCACGGCTTTGAGAATTTGCGCGTGGCTGACGCGAGCGTCTTCCCTCAGATTCCCAGCGCGCATACCATGGCACCCACCGTCATGGTTGCAGAACGCTGCGCCGACTTCGTGAAGAGCAAGTGGGCCGAGGAGAAGACCAAGTAGTATTTGACATGTTGAATGTTCTGCCACTTTTCTGGCACCCGGCTTATTCTGAGTAATAATACATTGTGTCCATCGTCTTGAACATAGAAGCTGTGCCTTGTTGTAGGCCTCCGCTATTGGCTACGTGCACACACATTTTCAGTCCCATTCAAAAGCATACACGGACAGTTCGCGGGACGACGCAGCTAATCAGCAAATAATTAATCTTGCACAGAAACGGTCTACATCACTTGAGATCTGGACCACCACCAGTGACCCGATGGCCAACTGGCGCTGAGACAGTTAAGTGCCATAATATCCGGGATATCTGGGACCTTAGCCACTGAAGAGCAAGCTGTTAGAAGAGTCTCATAATTATTAGCCTTGAACTTGGCGGGATATGACGCCTTCCGTCTAATTAAACGATCAATCACCTGGGACGCAACACGAATTCCTCCCACCTCACCACGCTTTCCTCCATGCCGCCATCTTCCTCGAGCGTCCTGGCCCCCACCACCGTGCTCCAGCCCCTGACCAGTGCCCGCCAGTAGCACGCCTCGGCCGCGAGACTGAAATATCCGCCACCGACAAACAGCTCCCTCTGCCTCTCAGCGATCCCCTCGGCAACATCTGGATGCCGCTCCAGCCATGCCACTGTAGCCTCCAGATCCGACCAGTCGGGCGACACAAACACCGCATTCGCCTCGCCCGGCGTGAAGTGCTTTGGCCACGCAGTGTTCTCGCCCCCAGATGGCGTCCACCGTGGCGGAGTTTTCGACGAGTTCGATCTACTAGCACCACCCTCCAAGTCGAGATCTGCCGAAAACAGGGGGCGCACCAGGTGGGTCGTGTGCTGCAGCCAGGCGAGCGGCGGCGTGAGCAGCACGGACCGGCACATCTGCAAGAACGGCAGACGGCCGCTGTACGTGACGCCCTCGGTGTGCAGCACGTACTTGTGGCGGCAAAAGTCTTCGACCATGAGGGCGTTGGACGGCATGGCTGTCCCGTTGGCACCGCCTTCCCCTCGGTTCCAGCGCAGAGCCGCGACGTCGGCCCACGGCTTGCCATGTGCCGCCGTGATCAAGTCCTCGCGCAGGGTTGGGTGGTGCGCGCTGTTGAATCCAACGGTGCCGCGCCACACGAGGCGAGCGTCCTTCTGGGAGAACGGCAGTGATGCCTCGATAGCGTCGATGGCTGCGGCTGCGCGGGGCAGGGACCCGATGAAGGGCTGTGGCCAGGCCCAGAAGGAGAAGTGCGGCATTAAGAAGGCGCGCGTTATGGGCGCCCCGCCGGCGGTGGGCATGGCGTATGCTGGGCGAGAGTATGACCAGGCGGCCCCGAACGGCTGGTCATGCACGTTGATGGTGATGACAGTCTCGGGCAGGGGGCTGGGTGAGGTGATGATGGCGCGGTAGATTTGCTGTAAAGTGGCAGACCGGGCCTGGAATGCGTCAGCCTATCAATAATGGATTCCGTAATGTGGATCGCGGACTTACATCAAGCAACTCTGGGGTGAGATCGCTGCCGGAATGAAGTACAAACAACTGTGTCCCACCGATGTGTCAGATTCTTGCCTGTTTGGCATTCATAGTGACCGGGTCGAAGCGGGAGACTCACCTGTCTGTCTTTCACCCTGACCTCAACCAAACCGGCTGAGCGATCAGTCATCACAAATGGGCCGAGCTTGACATGATTATTAATGTCTTTTGTGAGGCCCGGGAACGCGGCTTTGCACTCATCCTCACTGAGGCCGGGTGAGTTCAGAACACGAGAGGGAGGCAAGACGTGGCTGTCATGGTTTGCTGAAAACCCCGGCACTTGATAGCCCCTTTGGTCAACGTGAGGAAGAACGAAGCCAAAGTTTGGGGCGAGGAGCAGATAGTTCAGCACGAGGCACAGAAAAAGTAGCGCAACGGCCTGTTTCCACCACCTGCGGTGCGGGTAGAACGGCTGTCGAGGCCTGCCTGCGTCCCCAACAGCGGGTGGGACGAATTGGCTCATGGTATTGGAAAGATATTGGCGTTTTTGTTGGCGGCAGGTCTAGGGTCTTCTCGAGCCGCATCCGGGGTGCGTAATGTGAAGCATTCTCGATGACGAACGCAAAGCGGTCGACGCCACGTGATGTAATGCGCCGGGTATATGTGTGCAATTACCTAGGAGGAGGTTCATGGTATTAGCCGGCATGGTTGCAGAACGACTTGGCGTAACCCTTTTCTGTCAGACGCGGAGAAAAAGCCCCGTTTCCCGGGTTTTGGAAATTGGCGAATTATTGACTCGGTAGCAAAGTCACCAAGTCATCATTTCCAACATGCGCCCAAGTCGCACGGATTCAAGGTCTTCAATGTAAAGCAACGCGCGGGGGGGCTTGATTTCTGTAACTATGGGCCTGTGACTCGCTATCGTGCTGAGTTCCAA